TGTTGATAGTCACATGGAGTTTGGGCTTAACAAGCAGAAGTCATCACCACCAGCAAAGCTGGATGATGAACCTCATACTCACCTTCATTCATCAACCATACTCTTCTTTAGGACTCTAACACTTCTCTTTCTGCCTATAGGCTCAATTCTTCTTTAGCCATCTGGGTCAGCAAGCAATCTCTCTCATGATTCTTATGAAGTAATATCATCACCTTTCTCAACTTATTCTTCTACAACCCATTCCACCAATATTACTGCAAAATAGAGAAAGCAGGAGGAAGCAACAGCAGTGAAGGAAGTTCTGAAGTCAGAACTTATTGACTTTGAATAGAGTCTCCTTCTGAAGTCAGACTAAGCTAATATAAAGAGCAGCTCCTCAGCAACCCTAAAGCCTCATGCTCCATCCATCTTTGATCAGTCTGATGACTCTTTCACCAAGAAGAGTGGAGAGAATAACAGAGACAAAGACAAGGACAGCAAGAAGGTGACTCCCTTTGACTGGAGAGATATCAGATTCTATGCATTAGAACTAAAAGATAAAGCAGTATTGAGAGAGGAAATTCAATGCAAAAGAGAGAAAGAATACATGAGATTATACTAGGAGAGTGTTATAACACTCCTTCGAGATGTAAGCTGAAGGATGTCACTGCAGAAAGGAGAGTATATGGCAGCAGATAATTTAGAGAAGGATATTTTACAATATGCAGTCACTGAACAAGCTATTTTCTTATACAACAGATTCTATCCTGAGAATATTCTGAGCATGCTACTAGAATACTGATCCTGATATTGTTAGATCCAAGCTGTATATGATTCTAGACACATGATAAACTGACATCACTTCACACTTCAAGTGGAATGACAGAGTTTACTGGTGTGAATATAGATTGAAATGTGACAAGATTTTTAGCAATTGGCTTGAGAGTAGAATGGTGTGAATAAACTTTAGCTTGAAGCTGGGGTTATACCAGCAAGAGCTGTTCTACTTATATACAAGTTGTTGTACTACTATAAATACTCTTACTTATTATGTTTATGCTGATTATTATACTCATTGTCCTTGAGTGTTGCTATTGTCTATAATAGTGTTATTGTATGTCATCAGGCAGTGTCATTATATTGAAAGACAATGGCCAATTGAGCTTGTTGTGATGACTAAGCTAATCCCATGATCTTAAGCACTGGTCTGAGCACTCTGACTAAGTATAAATAGGGGTTAACTCCATCAAAAAGAGAAGAATAAATGAAAAAATTATAATATTACTCTCTTCTTAAGACCATTATCCTGATGGCTTAATTTAGAGATAATTTATAGTCACATACAGCATTTGCTGCATTTATTCATTTTTCATTGATCCACTAGTTGGATTCAGATCTGTAGCCCTTCCAACTAATCAAATAGTTGATCATTATTGTCATGCTACCACCTTTAGCTTTTACTTTTTGCAGCTTGTGATTGAGGATTTGATTAACTTTATAATGCTCCTTATCATTGATTAAGTCAGGAGGTGGTGGTTGTTCTTAATTAGAGAACACCAGTATGATGTATAGTGTTAAAAGGGCCTTATTGAAGATATTATGGATTTTCCAGTGTGCAGGCAGATGAAGATAGTATGCTGAGGCACCAATCTAGGCTAGAATTGAAAATAACCCAGTTTATTTGTTGGCCAATTTCTGTTTAGGTCAGAGGAGGTAAAGGTTAGTCATGTCCAACCAGACTTTATCATTTGTGGAGTAAACATGTGCTATGGGATGGTGTGCATCATATTGTTTTTTCATTGTCAATGCTGCTTTCTCCAGTATGATATGAGTTTTATTGTGTATCTTTGCCATTGTGGTGGCAAAGTCCATTGAAGTAGAGGTTGATGTGGTGGACCATGTAGTGTGCATGATATTGGAGTGGCATTCATAATTCATGAAGAATGATGTTTTGCCTGTGGCTGAATGGATTTGGTTATTGTGTTGGAATGTCACCAAAGCTAATCATTTCATCCAGTCATCTTGTTGATAGTTTATGAAAAGGTGGAGATATTTTTTGACCTTCTGATTGGCTCTTTCTGTTTGGCCATTGGTCTGTGGGTGGTATGCTATAGATGCATTTCATGAAATGTTGAGAAGTTTGTAGAGGTCATCTAAGAATTTGAATATAAATTGTGGTCTCCAGTCTGAGATGACTGATTGTGGCATTCTATACTTAGCATAGATCTCATCTTGGAGGATCTTGGCCTATCCTTCAGATGTTAATTCTATAGAGCAGGCAATTGGAATGATTGCCTTAGAGAACCTGTCAATAATAATTATAATTGCATCATAACTATTGCATTCTGGGAGCTTGGTAATCATATCTACCAAGATATGGGTCCAGAGGGATTGGGGTACCTCATTCAGATAGAGCAGTGCTGCCCATGCCTGAGTAGAAGGTTTTCCTCACTGGCAGGTTTCACACCCTTTTACATGTTGTTCAATATTCTATCCTATTTTTAGCCACCAATATTTGTAAAGAACCAATTCTTTGGTTTTTGCAATTTCTAAGTGGCTCTTGGTGGCATAGTCATAGTATGTGGCAATGATTTCACCCTGTAGGTTCTGATCTCAGAGAATGTAGATCTGCCCATCATAGTGAGTTATCCTCTTCTTCTTTGTCATTTCTTGTTTGTGATTTAGGGACAGAGCCACATGTTAGTCCTATTTACTCATATCTCTGATGGCACTCTTGATCTGCTCATAGATCTCTTCCTCTGTTGGCATTATCATTGCTTAGAAATGTTCAAGCTTTAGCAGTGTGATGCCATCATTGTCATTCTCCTCTTAGTCATGATCTGCTTGTCTGCTGAGCAGGTCTGCCTTTTTGTTTGCTGTTCTTGTCTTGTGATATAGCATGTAGGTGTATTGACTGAGCTTAGTGACCTATCAGGCTTGTTGTCAGTTGAGTTTCTGAGGTTGTCAGAAATATCTGAGATTCTGATGGTCTGTCTAAATTTCAAAAGTCTCAGTGGTGCCAATGAGGTAATACCACCATTCCTCCAGAGCAAGCATAATGGTAAAGAGTTTCTTGTCATAGATTTCATAGTTTCTCTTGGTTGCAGTCAGGGCCTTGAAGAGAAAAGTGACTGGTCACCATCTTTCATCTTGCTCTTAGGATAGGGCTGCACCTATTGCTCCTTCACTCAAGTCAGCCTCAACTCAGAGTTTGTCATTCTAACTTGGGATGGCAAGTACTACATTCTTGACAAGCTGACACTTTAGATTATCAAAGGTGGCCTACTGTGATGGTCCTCATATCTAGGGGGCATTGCTGGTCAGTTGTGTCATTGGTCAGATGATCTTGCTGTAGTTCCATATGAACTATTAGTAAAAATTGGTAAATCTCAAAAAGAATTGTAATTTCTTTTTCTTAGCTGGTTCTGGCCACTCAACTACTCTGGCTATTTTGATTGGGTCTATGCAAATACTCCTCTTGCTGATGATGACCCCTAGATATTTCATTTCTAGTACTTCAAATTTGCACTTCTCTACTTTAAGAAACAATTTGTATTTCCTTATTAGAGCAAGGGTCTGTCATACCAGGTTTCTATGTTTCTCTTTGGTTTTTGATATGATGAGGATGTCATTGAGGTAAATCATTACTTTTTTATTAGCAATAAGGTCTTTGAAAATATCATTCATCATTCATTGGAAGATGGCTAGTGAATTTGTGAGTCCAAAGAACATAATAGTGGGTTTGAAGAGCCCTCTGTTAGTTCTGAATGCTGCCTTCTATTCATCTCCTTTCTTGATTCAGATATTATTGTACTCCCACTGCATATCTAATTTGGTGTAGTATTTGGTGCCCCTGAGTTTGTTCATTAGTTTGTCCATTAGTGGGAGTGAATAATAGTTTTTGATAGTCATCTTGTTTAACTTTTGGTAGTCCTGTATGGATTGTAGTTTCTCATCCTTCTTTTTCACAAAGAAGAAGAGAGATGCCATCAGAGATTTAGAGGGTCAAATCTGCCTGTTAGATAGGTTCTCCTCCAGGAACTTGTCAAGCTTCTATTGCTCCTGTTTGCTCAGAGAGTAAACCTTGCAGTCTAGGTTCATATTCACATTCAGGATGAGTTCTATGGCATAGTCTCAGAGTTTTAGCTCTGGCAGTTCATTGAAACTCTGTTTATTAAACAAGTCTTAATAGTCTTGAACCCACTCAGAGACTATTTCCTCAAACATTCTTTCCTCCTTTGAGGCATTGGCTTTGGCAGCCAGGTCATCCACATGATGCATAGCTCAAATGTGTATGGCTTTCTGGATGTCCACTGCCAAGATTGTTTCTTTGTCCTTCATTTCTTTGTCTCACTGATTCTCTAGATCTTCATTAAGCAGTTCAAATGATATTTTCTGACATTTGCATCTGGTGAAAGTGATTTGACCAGTCTTTCAGTTTACTAATAGGTTATATCAGATTAGTCAGTTGTGGCTGAGGAAGATCTCTTTAGTACCAAAATCAGTTATAGCCAGATTAATTTGTTCCATGTAGTCTCTGATAGTGAGATAAAGTTTGATGAATTCTATAATTGATCTGGCTTAGTTCTTTGTCTCATCAGCATTATAAACTGAGATAGAGGCAGCTGTGGCATGTGTGAGGAGTTTATGTTTGTCAATGAAGGCTCAGTTTATTAAGCTGTTCATACAGCCACTGTCAATGAGAGTGGTGACTGTGTAAACAGTGGTATTGCAGAATATCCCACTGCTCTTCTGATTCTGCATTAATATATAAAAGTCCTATTCACAATGCTAACCACTTGGCATCACACTATAAGAATGTTACCCCTATTTCATACAAGTTCTAGTACTCCTCCACTCTTGCCCTCTGTATTTCTTCTTCTAGTGCTTCTTTATCTGTGTGCTTTAAGATATAGTCTGTGAATCTACATAGCTCTTTACTGACCTCCATCTTCTTGTTGCCCTCAGCTTCATTGCTCTTGCTGTCCTTCTTGAGGAGAGAATCTGCAGGCTGGTTGAAGATGCTCTTTCTAGAAGGTTGCACTGTTGCTGGGGAACTGCTGCTCTGGCTGAGTACTTGGTCTAGCTTTGGTGCTCAGATAACTTGGGACAGTGATCATGGGAGACTTTGCTCAGAGATGGGCTCCAATCTCAAGGTCATATCTATTGCCACTATGTGCTTATACTGCCTTCAGGCTCTTACTATAGATTCTGAAGTTTCTGTGGAAGTTCTTGTCAAGAAACTGGTGAGTAACTCTGCTTCTGAGAAAACCTCAGAGAGTGTGGTTAGAGATATGGGTGTTGAGAGGTACTTGAAGCCTATAGTGGTTGAGGATGGACTGGTCATCCAAGTGGGTGGTGTCAATACTGGGAGTGTGTTTGGAAGGGGAATACTGGAGGGTTTCAGGGCTGATAGTATGTCAGAGGAGATAGAGAATGCTGTTCCTGTTTCTCCTTCTGTCAATCTTGCTGAGGGTAACAGAGCTGTAGGGTCTCACCCATAGATTGCTTTTGGTGGTGCTGGGCTTTTATAATACCAGGGTGGAGAGCTTAAATTGGAGACCATACCAGCTTGAAGAGCCACTTTCCAAATGGGTGGCCTCAGCTTCTTGCTGCTGCTGGTGTCTCTATCTGTCATATTCTGCTTCCTTAGACTCTCACTGAGCCTCTGCCTGAGCATCTTCTGCAAGGTCTTCTCAAGCTTGCTTGAGGTCAGCCCAAGCTTGCTCATCTGATAGTTAGTAGTACTATTACCATGTGTCATCAAAGTTGAATGGAATTTTAAGGTCCCAGTGATATGCAGGCTATATGTCCAGCCTTATAATTTGCAAATTCTGCATAATACACTAGAATATGCTAGTAACTGAGAATCATTTGCCAGTAGAGGACTATGGCTGAGGCTCCAAGCTGATAGTCATGCTAGTCACCAATACTAAGTCCAAAAGGGACTTTGTAAAATAACATAGCCTAAGGATAAAAATCCTAAGTCAGGTTTGAACTTAGAAAAGTTCAGCACCACACCTTGGAAAATACTAAGTCCAAGTTGGACTTAGAAATGGTATCTCAAATGGGGCCAATTCTACATGCCACTAAGATGAGTATATTCTAAGACAGCTAGAGGTATAATACTATAGCCAGTTGTGGAGTATTGAGTAGAGATAGCATCATCTAGGAGCAGTAAGAAGTGAGACCCAATGATCTGTGGCTAGCACTGTGAGTTTTGACTCAAATGTCTAAGTCTGAATTTTCTAGGTATCAGGTGATCTAAGGGACTTAGAATTGAGAGGAATAGAGTGGATAGGACTAGTTGACCGGGCCTGATTGGGCCTGATCAATCAAGCTACTAAGAATAACTCAGAGGATTAAAACTTTGAGTAGACAGAAAGGAGTTAGGTACCTACAGGCACTGTAGGCTTAAAATAAAGCTGTGCAGTGGCCAGGCAGGTCTGGGCAAGCCTAGGGGAGTCCAGGAGTGCTGCCATTCCGGAATAATAGTGTGATTCCGCTTTAAACAGGAGAAATATTATTTTGAATGCTTTATTTATAGATTCTGTATCTGTTGTTGATGTATAAAAGAAGGGAATGAGGGGGAAATAGCAAGCAAGCGACCCACCCCCACATTCAGACCTTCTAGCCCACTGTAGCTGATCTCTGAGACAAAGGATTTTGAGTTCTGCTTCAACTTAGTGATTTATTTAAGTTGCTTTGTCACTTAGAGAGAGGATTAGATTGGAATAATAACTATATTTTGGGTTTCAGATTAATTTGGGTTCCAAACTATAAGGGTTTTGGCATCAGAATACAAGTTCTTCAGTTTTGAGGACCACTAGCCAGCCAAGAGTGCAGCTAGTCAAGTCTAAGTGTTTGATAGACTTAGTATTTGGGTTTTGGAGTTCATTGGGTTTTGGAATATTCTAAGTTGGTTTGGAGTGCAATTTTGCATTGATTCTAAGTTCTAATTATACTTAAACATTGCTATAAACTACTCTCATGAGTATTGCATCTTTGAAAGCAAGATAGAGTTAAATAACTATCTTTATTAACTGTTTCTTTGATTTTACTTAAGACTGCAAGAGTGCTTCTATCATACTTGAAACAACTGACCTCAACTGTATTTGGTGATTGTGTATTGAGTGGTTAGGTGTTAGTGTTTGAGAGTTCATTCCTCATTCACTTCTCTTAGTCACTTAGCTGTTATCAAGCACATCATCAGTCTGAGAATAGCTGATGGATAAGCTCAGCTCTGTTGTCTTCTGCTGTAATTTGTGCTGACTTGATTGGTGACCAGCCTTTCTTATGGTCACTATGATGTAAATGATTGGGGCTTTCTGACAGAGTCACATAGAGGGAGTTATGATTGGTGTTTCCTGTATGTAGTGAAATACTTCTGAGTCTTGAAGCCACCCTAATGGCATCAAGGGAGTCCTGGATGCAGTTAGCAATCTCAGGGATTCTGCTGGCAGTGGAAGGGTCAGAGAATGGTGAGTTCTCAAAGAAGTCTGAGGAGAGGTTCTTATTCTCATGGTTAGAGATGGAGGGCAGAATCCATGAGTTCTGAAACTCTGTGAGCTGAGAGTTTCAGTCTCTGCTGTCTGGTTGTCTGAGAGGGTATCAGTATCTTTTTTCTTTTTGAACATCTCCTGTATGCATGCTGCTAGGCCCAGCTTTAGGTATAGGGTGCTCTGTGAGCTGGTGGGATGTTCTTCAGGATTTAAGGATGTCATGAAGTGGAAGATCAGAGATTACATTTCAGAGAATGCAGCAGATGTTCTGAAATTTGTGGTAGTGTTTAACTGCCCATGTTGTGATTGATTAATATTCATGGCATAGCTGTATGATCATCAATAATCCTAACAATGTTCTGATAATAGATGTGAGGAGTTCAAAGAACTCATGATTAAAGTTTGAGTCTGATGTGTTGATAGATAGCATTTGGTTTCCTCCACACTATAGTGTATGAGAAAAGTAAAGAGGAAGCTTTAAGCTAATTGTTAGATCCAAGCTGCATGTGATTCTAGATACATGATAAACTGATGTCACTTTGCACTTTAAGTAAAATGATAGAGTTCACTAGTATGAATATAAATTGCAATGTAACAAGGCCTTTGATGATTGGCTTGAGAGTAGAATGGTGTGAATAAACTTTAGCTTGAAGTTGGGTTTATACCAGCAAGAGCTGTCCTACTTATATACAAGTTGTTGTACTACTATAAATACTCCTACTTATTATGTTCATGCTGGTTATTATGCTCATTATCCTTGAGCATCACTATTGTCTATAATAGTGTTATTGTGCATTATCAGGCAGTATCATCATGTCAAAAGACAATGGCCAATTGGGCTTGTTGTGATGACTAAGCCAATCCCATGATCTTAAGCACTGGTCTGAGCACTCTGACTAAGCATAAATAGGGATTAACTCTGTTGAAAAGAGAAGAATGAATGAAAAAATCATAACAGGTATATGGTACAACCAATGCTGAACACCCTCCTGATACCTCTGAAGTGAGCTGTGTATACAGCCTCCTCCATATGATCAAGTGCCACCTATAACATTCAGTGCTGACAGCAACAGGCTGAGATCCCAAATCTGGCTCAATACCTCTTTCAGCTATGATGCTATAGGCTTCTTGGCATGCAACCACCCTTAGATAAAGCTATAATCAGTGGACAGATTGCAGGAGATGATCCTGAAGCCATTAGATTGAGCTTCACCATCAAGAACAGATGAATAATCAGAAAGGAAGCAGCATCTGCAGAAATCCCAGTAGCTGACAGCAGATCACTTCATTCTTTCTCCACTCTGCCCAAAGAATGGGGACACCCACCCTTTGGAGGCTACTTAAACCCTATGGGACTTCTGGCAGTCAATGTGCCCTTTATCTAATGCAAGCTAGACCTAGTCCAGAAACTATAATTCTTCAAAAGGATCTCTGACAATATTGATCAATTTTTAATCAACTGCAAACAATACTTTGAAGTGTATTCAGCTTATCTCACTATAGACATCTATAGAGTGGCATTTATATGATGATTTTTGGCCTTAAATCATGATCTGCTGATGCTTAATGATGAAGATATGATCATACCATAGCTATGTTTTATTCATCAATGTATAATAAGATGACAAGGAACAATGTAGTAATCATTGCTGTCCCACATCTTGAACACAATAGGAACTGTGGCATATGGAAAACTCACTATAGTGCTGGTATAGCAGAGCAACAATAATAAACAAAAGCAAAAGTACAGTCATTGTTGTTTCAGACAATAAGCAGAGGGCATAGAAAGCAGACAATAGTCACCTATAGAGCATAGGATTCTTTAGACAGTATTTAAAGCAGTAGTATACACTGATGTATCTCAGTCTTGAGCTAAGGTTTAATACACCTGCTAAACTCTCTGACTATCTGGTGTGAATACTCTTGCCACAATGGCAGACTATATCTATTAGCCACAACTCTTCATCTTTCTTTGCAAAATCCTTATTGCCTACCTTATCATCCTCATTATACTTTTATACTGAAACTAGACCCAGACTCAGAATCTAGAATCAAACTCCAGTGGAAGCAGTGCTAGACATTTGTGAGTGTTCAGTAGAGGTCTAATAATTAGCTTAAAACTTCACATGCTCCAGTCTGATAGCACTTTGCTAAAAACTAGCATATGAAACTCATGCTTGAAAACATTGTCACCATCTTCATCACAGGCACTTGCCTATTCATTGCAGCAACTGGAATTATTAGATACCATATTATATGATTACTGAGAAAATAAAGAAGAAGAAGAAGGAGAGAACTAGAGAAGTGGCAGAGCTAATGAAGAGTGAATATCCTCTATTGAGCTATCTAACTAGTGCTCTACATACTCCTGAGTCAAGAGAGCATCATCATTCAGCCATTGGCCTCAGAACCCACAGACACCAGTAGCATAAATTATATCATCCAATCTTCAGAATCTGAAAGTGTATAAAGTGGAAGAGAAGGAGTTGAATCTCTCTCTCTCATCATCTGACTGGCCATCTCTGATAAGAAAGAGTCAGTATGAAGAGATGATGACTATATAAGCTGACCTCCAATCAGAGACATGGCTGCCCTTACTGCTGATTACCACTGAGGGCATATGTCAGGAGCTCTATCTGAGCTCTACTCTAAGCAGGTGGATGAATCCAGCCTTGCAGCCAGCACACTCTGAAGCCTCTCAATCTAAGATCAGGACATCAATCAGATCATCCTCAGAGTTGATGCATATAGCCTCAGAGAGAGTGAGCTCCAGTCTGCTAAATCAGGAATAGTGGACTTATATAAGCCAGATAGGAGATACAAATATATTCTCAACTGGCAAACCTATATAGCAGAAGAATCTGCCTAGACACTACTAGCAGCTCAAAGAGCAGCAGACTGTTAGACCTAAGTTGCATGTGACTATATCTATGTGATAAGTTGATATTACTTCATGTTCGAGTGTTCTGTCAAAGTCCACTGATGTGAATATTGATCATTGT